AGCTAAATTGTAAGCAGAATTGTTTCATTGTTCCTTTAAAAATGATCATTTTAAAATTTTAAATCTGTAAAGAAAGCCCGTCTCTTCATGCTATTTTGAAATAGTGACTTGCCAGTATTCATTCTGGTCATGAAGTGTAATTTGACAATTCAGATCTGTCAAGGGAAAAAAAGAAAAAGAACAAAGCTAGTGGTACAAAGCGTGAATCAGACAATATGAAGCTCAGAGGTGCACTCTTCTCATGAGGCAATGCAGGAGACTCGTCAAGACAATGAGTCACGCTGCTTTGCTTTGCCACAAGCTCCACTAAAGAGTAAGCAAGGAGTAAAAGACTCTCAGGAGCCAGAACATTGTGCCTTTTTAAGTCTTGAGTTAAGTTATTCCTCAAGTGTCAACAGTTTGTCTTAATAATAGTTATGTGACAGTGAGTGACTCAGGCGATGGGGAGTGAAGTCAGGCTCCGTGCCAAATATTCCAATAGCAGTAATGTGTTGGGTTTTTTTTCAGTTAGAGTTGGCAAAGAAGCAAGCGACTGTCTGCACCAACCACCTCGAGTGACCAGCGTTTACACCCGTCCAGCCGCTACTCAAATTAAAGTGTGCCAAGCTAAAACAAATGAAGTATAAAACTCTGATGCCACTTCAATGGAAAGAAATATTCTGCATTTAAAGAGCTTGACTCAGGCCCTCATTTTGAATTTAGCTTTGAGAAGCTTTCTGTGGCAAAGACTCCCCCTCATAGAGAACAGTGACAAACATTTTGCTGATTAGGCCAAGTTCAGGAGATCGTCTGAATGAAGTCAGCTGCTGAAAGCTGTTTGGTTTTAATCCTGTTGCAGCCAGTCCCTGATCATGCAGACTCTTGAGTACACTTCAAAGCTCAGCACAACCATGATGGCTCTCTCAGCCCATTCTTTGGACATCACCTTCAGAAGTTTACTATCACCCAGTACCCCTCAACATGATTTGTTTTGTTCCAGCCAAGGGGATTATACCCAGCACCTTGGGATTGGACCTTTCCCTGTGTGTGAGGTTATCCACATTCCAACTGTTATGTATTATGAGCTCTGAGAGTCTGGGCTGACTAATATATGTGTCCTCTGGTTAGGCTCACTGACCCAGGCCAGACCAGTTAATGGGCTGGATTGCAGCTTCTCTAGGTTCAGACTTGTGTGGGATTCACTGCTTACACACCTCAACCCACAAGGGGTCCTCACCACCTCACACAATTTAGCTGTACTCTCTAGAAGCTGAAGCCTTCATGCTACATGCTACTTTCTTCTGCTGTTTCTCTGTTTTGCCCTCAGCTCATCATGAACTCTGACTCAGTAATCACAGTTAAATGCTGTCAGTCCCGGGAAGTGAGAGACTACTGGGTAAAGTTTAGGAACCTCTGTGTAGGAGAGAGACAGCGAGATAATGGGCTTTGCTCTCAATGTGCTGAGGCCTCTAACTGCAAGCTAAAGAAGGTTTAAAACTTCAAATGGTAACATTTGTTGAGCTCCTAAGCACCAGAAAAGTCTGCAAATTAAGCGCTGGATAGATTTTCGTTTATTTCTTTTTTGCTCTGCAGCTATGGGTATTTTTTTACTGACATCATAGTTTGAGTTATACATTTAAGAATATAATACCCTCCATTAATGTGGTCAAGGTTTTGAAGCTGAAACCAGAGGTGATGATGCCTCCAGTTATATAGACAGTGTCTGTTTTTGTACTGTGCTGAGAGAGCACTGTAGAGCTGAAGGAGCTCTGATGAGTGCTTATAGAGTGCTAAACCAAGTTCCAGCTAAACTGCTCATCCATTACCCCAGCTGCTCGCACACACCTCAGATTTAATGTGCCAGGGTCGTTTGCGTGGCAGCCGCTCAACCTTCAGGGAACTCATTCATGCCAGACTGAAGGCCAGGAGCAGATTAGATCAAATCAATGTGAGCCCTGTAATGTGGCCTCTAGCCTGTCCGACCGCAGAAGCAATACTGCACTAGCCCAGTGTTTCAAGACCCCCTTCAGGGCAGACCTGCCTGTATCAGGGACGGGCTGATCATCTTCCTGCTGTGTACCTGGAAAAACAGGCTTCAGTGCCGACCATGAAACAGGGTTCATTAAGCTCCCACTCTGGTTGATCACAGCTCTGGCAAAGTGAGCATACAGGGAGGGGGCGTAGTGTCTTTACATTTACAACTTAGTCTGCAATGATGTGAGAATCAATAATGGAATATTCACCGTCCTGGCTGCTGTGCAGGCCTGGATCTCAAGCTGGGCTTTTATGTGAGGCAATACAGCAGCTGCTGCTGGAGAGACATAAGGCCACACCAATCACTTAAATCACCGCTAGATTCTCGAAAGAACAATCACCCTGGTGAGAGTGAAAACTGCCTACTAGCCCAGCTCAGTGCCGATTGTTCTTCACATAAAAGCTGGTTGTTCGTTTAACCTTAAAGATTAGCTATTCGCTTGCAGTTTATGGGACGTATTGAGTTTTTCCTAAACAGACCCATCTCCCGAGGAATGTGGGAGTTGCTTGTTTCATATCACTCCCCTAGATACCACTTTGTAATGTCACTGAGTTATTTACATTAGCCCATTTAAAGCAGCTAGGTTATATAACTTAACCAATTTTCTTGAGTGTCAATATTACAATACAGTTGGGAAGACTAATTTTGCTGGTCGTCGTTGAGTGACACACAAGATAAATATTGCCTCATCTAGTTAACCTTTCAAATTGAACCTTTCTGCCTTTCTGCACTATTACTCCAAGTTCAATACAATTAGTCAGTTAACAACACTTTAAGCAAAGTTTAAGAAGTGAGCATTTGTCATCAGTTATAGCAGTTTCATTGCCTCCAGTATCTTAAGATATTTTTTCCTCTGGCCATTTTGACAGCTGAGTGCTGAAGTTACACCTGAAAAAGGTGTTAAAAGACATAAAAGTAGCAAACTGTTATGTATGAAAAATCACTTGTTCCTTGCGTTCTTAATCTTTGCATCCTCTTTTCCTCTTCCCTCTAGTCACTGAGAGGTGTGAACAGCTTTCATATTTGCTTCCCTTTTAGCAGATTAATTTCAGGGTGTTATTAAGGCATTTTCCTATGATGGTTGTGGTATGTCAACATCACATACACTCTTTCTGGTATATCTTCACAATTTCTTAGTGACAGATCTACTGTATATTTTGCACGTATTTGATCATGTAATTTTATTTGTTGGTAATGCAGAGTCTTTGTCACCCTACTACAAGAAAAGTACCAGGAATTTTAATTAAAATACATCAGCTTTTTGGCGTTTTTTTGCATATTGTTTTGCCTGGATCTGAGTGGAATGGTTAAACAACAATGGATCAGCAACAATTTTGATAATCAATTCATTGATTAAATCAGTTTCAAGCAAAAAACTGAAGTTTTGTGGCATTTCTTAGCCTTCTTTGATAATAAACTGAATATATTTTGGGTTTTGGACCGTTGGTAAGACAAAACAAGCAATTTGAAGACATTACCTTTGGGTTTAGGAAATTGTGATGGCCATTTTTCTCTATTTTCTGACATTTTGTACATTAAATGATTATTGCGAAAATTATCAACCTCCAGACAGCTTTTTTCAACATGCTCGGGTAAACCTAAAATGTTTTTTGTTATATTAATGAGGAGATATACAGCCCATAAGCAGTAGGCTACCACCAAGTTTTGTTCAAATAAGTCAAAAAGGGAAGAAAATCAGCAGTTATGTGATATTATTATTTTTTTTTAAATTGTTTGTTTAGACCTGTCTAATAGCCTACATATATTTAGATACTCAAAGAAAAGCACATGGTTTTTTCATGAGTTAACTTGATTGAGCAACCTGTCTGTAAAGCAGCTGTAATATTTGTCAGCTCTCTCTGCAATGTATTTAGCCAGAAGCGCTTTCTTTAGTTACTTATCTGGGATACCTACAGCTTTGGTTACAGTTTGATTAATGTTGTGGAAGGCTCATATTGACAGGAGATATGAATTTAGTTCTGCTATGTTGCTGGCTTTGTATTTATCTGACAGAAGCTTTGAGAGGAAGCGTGTTTGTAGGTGTGAAACAGAGAGGGTTTCACAAACACAGTCTCACTTGGATATCTGGCTCAGGTCCTTTCTATGGAGAGTTTTCATGTTCATTCCGTGTTTGAGTGTCCTTTTCTCTGAATGTGTGCGATTGTCTGACAATGTTAGCTCTGTGATGGATAGCAACAACCTGTGGGTGTTCCTCAGCATTTTGGTCAAGGCATGCTTGGATACACTCCTGCAGCTTATGACCCTGAGCAGTAGTGAAGACAGTAAATTATTGTATTTTTGTGGAACAATCTCATGAAAAGACTTTTCATTACATTTAGACTAATCATTTGCCTAATCTGTGGTTGTCGGTCACATTCAGCCTACTTACAAAAATGTAAATCAGGTCTTGAAGATGTGCTTTTAGATAGAAGATTTGCTTTAAGTTTTATCACAGCTATATAATTTCCCTGCCCAAAACATCTGGGCACTGTAGCTTTTAGCAAATACCCAAACAGGGGAATTTAGTGTATTTGTTGGTGCTCTTTAGCTACAGTTAAAAAGAGGAATAAGCTATACCATACTTTGGCTGCACAGATAACATTTGTGAGATCAATTCAATTGTCAATTTAGATTTTTTGTTGACTATAAAAAGAATAAGAATTCCACGAGACTTAAAAAACACATTTACATTAAAAACTGTGACATTTTGTTAAACGGATTTTAAATCAAGAATGTCAAGACTATTAAGCTTGTGAAGCAGTGTAGGAAAGTTTTCACAGTGTTAAGTAATTAGTTGTGTAATTTCCAGGAATATTCACCCTTCCTGTTGAACTATTTCTTACAGGTAGCCATTTATGAGCAATTGTATTACTTGTTGGCATTTACCTGACATATGATTTCATAGGATGGGATAAATGCTGGTGCATATACCTGTTTTGTTTTGTTACTCAGCTCTGTCTGATGCCACTTCTCTCTGTGCCTGCAGGCTGTGAGAGTGACTACTGGGGACCTCACTGCAGTAATCGGTGCCAGTGCCAGAATGGGGCTAAGTGTAACCCCATCACAGGTGCCTGTGTCTGCACTGATGGCTACCAGGGATGGCGGTGTGAGGAGCCCTGTGAGCACGGTTACTTTGGCAAGGCATGCCAACTACCCTGCCAGTGTCTCAATGGTGCCACCTGCAACCACGAGACAGGAGAGTGCATCTGTGCACCGGGGTACTCAGGGGCTTTGTGAGTACCAGCAACATATTTATTCCATTGCAACTTTCTCTTGTCTCTTTGAAAATATGTTGATGGGCTGTTTGTTGTTTGTGTGAGGGTTCTTTGTTGATGCAAGGAACTAAAGGCAAACACTGGTTCTGTGTCTGAGACATATAAATGTTGATTTGTATGGTGACAGCTGTGGAGAACGCTGCCCCTCCGGTAGTCATGGGCCTCATTGTGAGCAGCGCTGCCCCTGTCAGAATGGAGGAACATGCCACCATATCACTGGAGATTGTTCCTGCCCTGCCGGGTGGACGGTAGGTCACACAAGCAAAAGTAGGAAGGCAATGAGGAGGAAAAATCTGACAGAAGAAAAGGGCTGAATATCGTTGGTGTTCTGGAAATATTTATATTTCTAATGTAGTCTTTACAGAAGAGACTGGTACGTTTAGAACATGTACTTTAGGATCAATATACTGTTTTCAATTATAAATGAGAACATGGGATTCTCTACTCCATGCAAGAAAAAATATCTGAATTCCTAGTGGGGAGGTTGTGAAGCTTTCTCAAACCTCTGTAATATCTGTAAAGTAATGTCAATTGAACATGGCCACTCACAGTCAACATTATAAAGTGTTACGTTATGGGCTTCCCTGTGGCTTAGTGTTTTAAGGCAGCATTCCCATTTGATTCCAGCTGTGGACCTTTGGTTTCATATTATCTTTCTTGCATTCTCCCCACACATGTAAAACTATTGAGTAAAGGCAATAAAGCAAAAACTAAAAAATGTGTTTTAAAAGCCTTATTTTTGGCATTCCTTAAAATCTTCTCTTATGGTATGAACAATTGTATGTTGCAGAATTTATGTATATCATGATATTTTAGTTGAGAAACTGATTGCATATGAAATTGCCCAATATGTCTGTTTTCAGCAAAACCTGTGTCTGATAAATGTCTGACAAATTGAGGTACTTCATCACATTTATTAAAAAAAAATATTTTCCTGTACAGCCATCCTGATCATTGATGTGCAACACTGCCCACAATTACCTAAACCCACCAGAGATTTTAAAGGGACAGATACTACAGAATAAACAGTTTGATCAAATCTCTAAGTGTAAAAACATTACTGTTGTCTCTTTTTACCCAATCCCACTTTAAATCAATTACTTGCCAATACAACAATGATAACTGGTTAACCAGTACAAATAAAATATTCTAGTCGTTTTGGTCAGTAATGACCACTTTAGACTTCCCATATTTAAACTCTGCATTCATTTGAGCTTTCTAAAGATAGTGGTGTAGGTTTAGGTTATTTATAGAATGTAATATTACGGTCAAAATATGAGGAGGTAAGGCACATGTCAGAAACGTACAGGAATAACACAAGCAAAGGGTCAAACTTCTAAAGTATAATAAAAATAAAAATAATAAAGTATAATAAAATATTGTCCATAAGCCCACCCAGACTTACACAAGTAATTCATGCCACACAAATAAGTATCATAATAAAATTGACTAATGACAATACAAAAGCTAAGTGGTTTATGAGAGAAAAATAAATGAAATACATTACCCTTTATAGAAGATATTTATGCTTTATTTCAGAGAAATTACAAGGGACCCTCAACAAAACAGATGATGTGTTAAAATTTTGGTCATCAAAAGGACTACACATATATATTTACAATACAAATTAAGAATGTTAATTTCTTTGAAGCCATATTAAATAGATTTACAAAAATACTTTTAAACTATATTGACATTGACTATTTTTCAATAAAGAGAAGGCAACCCTGAGCAGCACCTCCCTGAAAAGCTGCTGATTAGTTAATGATTAAAAAATAATATGGACGCAGAAATACCCTTTTCAAAATTACTAGAAGATAATATTGAAACACAAAATACAATCAGGTCAAACTGAAACTTAGAACTAGGTCGACAGTTAAAAGAGGAACACTGAGAAAATACGAGAAGCTGTGGCAAAAAGATGACTGCAAATCACTCACATATATGTTCTTTTCTGCCCATTTCTAAAAACCTTCTGTCAACTTATTATAACCACCATCATAAACATTTTACAAGTTAAACAGGTACTTAAACCAAAATGTATCGTTTTAGGTATACCACCATCTGAACTCACATTAGAAACAGACAGATACCTTTACAGGTAACTTAAATTTGCAGAAATGAAACAGATAGCCAGGAACTGGTTAAAACCTACTCACCTACTAAACCTTCATTTACCAACTAGAAGTCAAACATAAACAGAATTTTAGAAATGGAAAGACTAACTGCAATAAATGGATTAAATGTGTAGATCACAATTAAACAATACTGAAGTAATCAGCCTATAATTCAAAAGAGTTTGAAGTGTCAATTTTTTTTTAGTGTAAGTGTGTAGGTATGTACAGATCTGCATGCACATATGTGTATGTATGCCATCATACTAGCCTATTTAATTTTTTCACATTCCTGTCCTTATTTTTATTTTAGATGATGATGATGATACTTTTTTTTCTAAATGTTTTCACTTTAAAATATAGAAATATTGTAAGAATGCTATAAGTTTGAACAATATCATATGTAAGCTAATGTAAATTTATGTAAACTCTTGCACTCTTGCAATGAAGTATATATATAAAAAAGAAACATATAGGAAAACATAAACAATAGGTCCAGATAGTCCAAACATCAATAGAACAAAAGTGTAGTTTAAAGTAATTCAGTCCTGAGGCGTAGTTGTGGGCAATGTATCTCATGGTTCTTTGCTGGCTGCTTTTCAAAGGGTTCAGTTTGTGCCCAGCCATGCCCTCTTGGCAAGTATGGCATCAACTGCAGCAAGGACTGTTCCTGTCGTAATGGCGGACTGTGCGACCACATCACGGGGCAGTGCCAGTGCGCAGCTGGCTTCAGTGGACGCAGGTATGCAGCAGACACCCCTGGCAGTTACACTGCTTAATTATTATGCATAAAAGCCTTTTGTGAAGTACTCTGTGCAAACTTTTGTACTCCTACTTTGAAAATAGGTCAGACAATGGCATGATTTATTGATATTAGTATTTAATGCAAAGGGTTGGTTTCATGCCGACAGTTGCACATTAAACAGTCACTCATTGACCTATTCTCTTTGTTGATGTCAAAATGAGGCACAAACCTGGCTGTTCTTTTAAAAGAGAAAGGAAATGTGATAATAATCACACGCTCAAGAGAAATCAGCATTTATAAATGCCCATTAGTCCATATGAAACAATGTTTCATCGATGTTTATATTTAATTAATCTCGTACTTCATACTGGCCAGCATGTCTTCAGCCTTTATTGTCTACCACTCCCAGCCTGTCCATTGATCTCACCATGGGCTACGTGCTGTTTGGCTTCTGCTCATTAATTATCTAGTATAGTAGTATGTTAAGTGATGGCCTTTTATTAAGGTCTCATTGAAATCCACAGATCTTTTTAGTTCCCCATGCCTGCCGGAGCAGCCCAGAGCAACCTGGGTTTATTAGTTCAGCTAAAGAAATTGTCTCTTGGATGGAAACACTTCCTTGGAAAGACCTTTCCTTTCCTTTATTATTTTGCAAAATTGCCCTCATTCATTTTGTCAGTGGCAGGTGAATTAACCTGCCAGGAATAATCTGAGATTGTGTTAGCCCCCACCCTCTCCTGTCTAGTATAATAATACCGCTGTCCCCTGATAAAACTAAAGCTGGGGTAATTTAAACATGAAACATAACTCGGCCATCTTATAATGTAATTGAGCTATTTGTAATAGCTTTGTTAGACTCTTGAGATTGATACTGCACCAGGATTGTATAGTTAAATCAGTATATTTAAGTGAAGAAAAAAAATCTATTTTTGATCTACTTCTGTGCTTCATGTGGAGAAACTCCTCAGCAATTCTAATTTCTGTGATTGAAGTCTTACTAAGTCTTGTCCAATCCCTGCAGAGACACTGACGCCAGACTGCTGACAGCAGGTGGCTGCTTTTAGGGCTTCCCTGTCATATACTCATTAAAATTTGGCCATGTCAGCCTTTCATTTATGAAAAAATGTTCAAACTAACTATTCTTGATTTAAAATATGAAATATATGACTATTATTAATAGATGATTTTTACTATATTACAGTAGTAGCTGAAAAACCACAACTAAAAGCAAATATAACTACCATTAGTCTTTTATCATGTACTTGAATAATATAAAATCTGTACCTTTTTTTATCCTAGTGATTATTCTGTTTGTTGAATAATCTGTCAGTTATTTTAGTGATTAATTGTTAATGTACAAAATGCCCAAAAATAGTGAGAAATGCCCATCAAAGTTTCAAAGAGGTCAGTGCGGTTTGTAATTTGTTGTAGTATTTGTTTGTCCAACCAATAGTTTAAAGCTAGGATAGGCAACTTTGGAGAAACCATCAAGAGTAAGCTGGATTCTAACAAAAAAACTTTCATTCATTTTCTCTAAAATGAATTACCTAACCTAGCTTTAAAACCCAAAGATATTAAGTTATAATAATAATATAATAATAATAGTAATAATAATAGTAATAATAATCTCAAACTTAATAATTGTATTATTTATATATTTATAATAACATAAACAATTAATCTATTATCATGATTGCTGTTGATAAATATTTTGATTAAAATACAATTTTGATTATTTCAGCTGTGATGTTTTGAAGAGCTTGACGAGTGTTATGACGTGCTTTAACGTTTTTAACATTTGAATTTCACGTTACCATTCTTGACTCAATTTTATTTATGTGTTTGACATTTTTAGAGCACCAATTTGAAAGACTGTAATTTTCCTACAGGTGTCAGGATGACTGTCCTGTGGGCACCTTTGGTCAGCTGTGTAACCAGAGGTGTGAGTGTCAGAATGGAGCCAAGTGTCACCATATCAATGGAGCCTGTCTGTGTGAAACAGGTTTTAAAGGCCCTAATTGCCAAGAGAGATTCTGTCCCCTAGGTCTCTACGGCCTCATTTGTGACAAGTACTGCCCCTGTAATACCACCAACACGTTGAGGTAAGTGAGACATCAGTGCAGTGCCACACACAACTTCCCTCTGACCGAAACCTGAAGCAAAGCCCCCTGTAGCTCCATATGAATAAAGACTTCTCCGAACCAATTTTCCTTCATCTTAGCTCTAAGCCAGCGCTCATTCTGAAGTCTGGACACCTCTTAGCCATGTCATCCAGTTATCTTTTAATCGCGACCTTTGCTTCATTCATAATTTCTCAGCAGCATTCATAGTTAATGCAATGTTAATGCTCTGATTCCGGATGGAGTTGGGCACCGACCATAGAAGTCATTACAGAAAGAAGGAGAAAAGGGACACCTCATCTATCTGAAACAAGAACGTAGACACATAGATGGATGAATTGCTGTTGGCGCAGACTTCACACTTTGACCCTGCTCACGAATGAAGTGTTGATACTCTGAAACTTTTTCTCACTCTTTCTTTTCCTGTTGTTGTCTCATCTTTCTTTCTCATTATGTTGTAGCTGCCATCCACTTTCTGGTGAATGCACCTGCTCTGCGGGATGGACAGGGCTTTACTGTAATGAGACCTGCCCTCCTGGATTCTATGGAGAGGGATGCATGCTGTCATGCAGCTGCACCAACGGAGCTGACTGCCATCCTGTCACAGGTGCTTGTATATGTGCCCCTGGGTTCATGGTGAGTATCATATACCCTCACTGCTATTGAATTGTACTTAGGTCAGCTCTTGCTATCATGGAAATGTTTTCTTGTTATTTAAGATGTTATATGTTTTGTTTATTTTTCATTCATTTTATTTTTATTTGACCTTTACTTGCTCTCATGAGATCTAAATGTCCTCTTGGAGAGAGCAACATGCCAAAATGCTAGCATAGTTACACAAACCAACACAGAAGCATAGTTACACAAACCAACACTGAAGAAAGAAGAGTAAGGAAACGTGAAAGAACAGAAAAAGAGGAAAACTTTATTTAAATATAGAAAACAAAAATCATAACACATTTAAAACCCTCCAACATCTGCCCTTAAAATGACTTGTTCTGTGTTTTAAATTATTTAAATAAATTAAATAAATTATATATTATTTAATTACTGCTGTAATTATGAAATGTCAACTTGTAATTATGCTGTTGGTTACATTTATTTTACATAAAACTGATGTAGGTTAATTGTCCTTGTAACCTTGCTCCTTGTAGTTACAAACCTGTAGTTTTATTAAATAACAATGATAAAAGGAGATCCATATGCGTGTATATAATATAACTCCACCAAATGCTGTGAAGTAGTTCATCCTTCTACTATATGGGCTTTACTTGTGAAGGTTGTTGCATTGATTTATATTTCATGTTATTTGTGGCCGTAGTAAAATGTTTGCGTCATTGTGGTCGTAATGTTCTGGAAGTGGTACCAGTATTACTTTAGAGGCTTTTGTAGACAGGCAGGCAGAAGCAAGGTGAGACATTTTGTTATTGACTTATTATGGATGTGCTCTGTTGCACCACAAGAAATTCCTTGTTAAATGATTAATTCTCTGGCCCAGTCCATTGCCGACATTAGTAATCAGTTGTGTGTACAAATATGGTTCATATGCCATAACATGTAATGTAGTATCAGAGAGACAAATACAGAGCAACCTTAGATCAATATCACTAGACCAACTGGGAGAAAATATAATCTTTGACCTATATATGTTTCCGTTTTAGGAGGTTTTGTGCAGCCATATTGTCCCCTTTTACAACTGTCAAATTAGTTCGGTAACTTCAATCAGTTTTCCCATTGTATTTCTTGTCTTGCAATCTGAAGTTACAGAGAAACAGAGACCGAGAGGGTACATTTCTGCCAACATTACATTTCAGTGGAAATTGCCTGTGTCTTACAGCGGGCCACTGTGGTGAATTGAGCTACCGAGCGGGGCCGCAGACTGTGTCTTAATTTGCTCCACCTGTTCTCTTTGGCGGCTGCTGGGAAGGGCTGCCAGATCCATTAAACAGACCTAGAGGGCAGGAGCTGGATAGAAAAGGAGGTAGTCAGATGGGAACAGACACACCTCATATGGTGGATTTGTGTGTGTTGAAAGGGGTGGGGGTTGCGGGTGCTTGTGGTAGTTTTTAGATACAACAATGCTGCTGCTGTGGAAACAACACAGACGGTTTGTTAGGAAGGCAGAGTTGTGATCGTGGCTCTTACTTGTGTGTAACTTTTTGTCACATGCATGGCACATGATCATTATCACGCAGTGGGGCTTTTAAAATGTGGTTGATGATGGCGTTGAGGCTATGATTGCTGGTGAAGTCACTTCCCCAGGGGACAGCTGATAGGACTAAGCCTCCCCGCTGCATCTTTGTTCTGGAGTCCCATCGGGGGCAAACCAAGAAAAGTGTTGGAGCAGACTGCACTCCTGCACGCTTGATTTAGTTCTAGTAATTGGACATGCTCTTTTTGACTGGGACAAAGTGATTACATGTTACCTATTCAGGCATTGTCCCTTTCAATCTGCAGCATGTACAGTAATATTTCTACCCTATGACTACAGTTTCTACAGATTCTGATGCTGTTGTAAATATGAATGCATTAGAAATGGATTCCAGTCTGCCTTTGTGGGTGGTGAAAACAAATAATTTTCCTATCTCGCAGGGCTTTCTAGCCTCATCATAAGGTTCAGAGGTTCATTTTCTGTCTTGCTGCATGAATTTTAAACTGTAGTCAGTCATCCAGCAGTTAGATGAACTGTTAAGGAGTAAGACTGATTGGTAATTAGTGGTGCCATTTGCATCTAGTCTCAATGGGTACCAGGCCAATCAATGTTGTGTCAGCGAGAGGCTTTTTGTAAAAAATGCTCTCCAATTACATTAAGATACTAATAGGTATGAATTTAGTGCTTTGGCCAAGGACGACCTGGCTGCCTCTCAGCGGCTCAGGTCAGGTTGCTGCCTCAGTTGGCTGTGTAGTTGTGAAAGGTCCTACTGCTCTCGTGCAAAGGACTGACAGCCCGTGTATTAATAATGATTCTCCACATACAGACTTCTATCCTTCGGAGCTCTGAAGGAATATGAATCAGGCGACTAATGAGAGAGCTGCCTTTCCCCTCTTGAGAGCAGACCAACCACTAGTCTCTGTGCCATGAGGGTGAAACCAAGTGGAATCTGACGCAGCCATGGATGCAGCAAAATCCATGTGGTCATTTGTGGCTGCATGACGTTTTATCCATGAGTCCAGTCACCAGTAAATTGCCTGTGCTCTGCAGACAGGCAACACCCCCCCACCCCCCCACCCCCCATCCTTCCTGCCCCCCTCTGGTCGAACTTCTCTCTACACTTAACAACTGTAACTGAACTGCTATTGTTAGCAGTCTTGAAGCTGTCATTTTCAGTAGAACAAAGGTTATTGCAACCGATTGATAAAAATTTCATTCACAGACAGGCGCTTTTATGTGGTGTACGGGGAGTGGAGTTGCTTTAAGATGTGTGTTCTGCCCCTGGCGTCCACTGGCACATCTCCTCCTGCCTCCTGTTTAAACTGAGTTCAAAATGATAATGAGAGCAGTGAGCAGCCAGCAGTCCCCCAGTACTCTGGTGAGCGAAGCAAGAGCCACTCAGGACTCCTCTGGGCCACTAATTGGAACTCTAAATCATTGTGTCACCTGTCACTCATGGCAGGGTTTGGAAGGGAGGGTGTGGGAATCCATAGACTGGTTGTGATCTCCATCTTAGGGAGGGGCTAGACTAGTAGAGGTGTGTTGTGCTCAGCCTTTAAAGCAGAGAAATTCTAATGACAGCAGGCTGTAGAAGACAGGAAAGGAGTAGTCCATGTCCTTTACCAGATAGTTCACTCTAATGCAATGATAAGGCACTACCGATCTCCCATTGTACTCATTAATAGTAGAGTGTCGGCTGCAGTCTGTCAGGGATGTCTCCGGGATCCCGCCGTTACCATGTCCACCCAGTTCAACGTGGAGTTTATTTGCTTGGTTTTTGCATTAATCCCTTTTTCTCCCCAGTTTGGTTTTGTCATCATATTCCCTAACTCCCACTGTTGGCCTTAGGAGGGTATAGACAGCCACGTGCTTCCTCCGATACACATGGCGTCACCAGCTGCTTCTGCAAAGAGCTTCACTGGAAGGTTTATATTATAACTTTCTCCTCACAGCCTAACCCCATTTGTGCAGGCAACTGAACCAACCAGTAGGAGTTGCTAATTAAGGGACAAGGACATGATCCTCACTGTCAGTTGTATTTTTTGGGATGTAGGGACCAAATGGAGGGTTGAACTCAACGAATATTCCAACAGGCATTTCTACAATCAAGAACCACAACTTGAGTTTATTTAGAACAGAAATGGTTGTGTTAACGGACTGAAGCTAGTTGAACAGAAGGGCAGACTTGGTAATAACTTGGTTGGAGACGTATGGGGGAAGAGTCTGTGGCTTTGGAGTCCTGCCATGGACGATGAAAGTGGAGACTAACCTAAAGGGAGAGAGAGATGGGAGAGAAGTAGGGAGACAGGGTGGAGCAGAGTTGCAAAAAGCTAAGCGTGGCTGGAGTAGGTGCTGTCAGAATATATAGTGTTTGCATAATTTGAAGGTGGGAGACGATAGCATTGGGAGGGTCAAGTGCGGTCATTCCTCTTGAACTTCAGTTACCATATCATAAATCCATTCAATTTTACAGTTGCTTGGCTCCTCATTCTGTATACAGATACAGTATGACTTATCTAAATGAACAGTTCAGAAAGGTAAGTACAAGTGCAGTGAACCTTCCCTGTCTTTCTGTCTGCATCTCTTCAGACTATATTATTCCTATTTTTGGTCTGCCAGAGTCAGCATTCATTGCCATGCTGATTCTTTACCTCATGACTTTGCATTATTTCTACCTCAGGGTGAGGACTGTGCTACAGTGTGTCCTCCTGGTCTATATGGACCAAGCTGCATGTCCACCTGCTCCTGCCATAATCACGCATCCTGCTCTCCAGTCGACGGCTCCTGCATCTGCAGGGAAGGTACTGTATAATTGATTCATGGTTAAGGTTCAGAGCAACTCTTGTGCTTTATAAGATACGCTACACTGGCTGCACTGTACACTGTATGATTGCACTTGCACACATACAAACTGTACTTGTGGTCTGAATTCTCTTGCATTCAGTATTTGATAATGTATGACTAGAAAAATAAAGTAGGTCGTTATTGTATACATACTGTATTACACGCAGCTATCCCCCTGCCCATCATTTATTCTCAGCTTGCTATGTTTGCTTCTATTTTCTTTTTAGTGAATAATACATCATATAAGCTTTTCTTTTTATTTATCCACAGGGAGTCTCAAATTCTGTGTAAAATTTTGTTTTGTTTGTTTATGGATTTTTGCTAACAGAAATCCTTTTTTTCCTTTCATATCCCTTGAATCATAATCTTCAAATCAGTCCCTCAGATTTGTCTTAAAGGTTCAACCCCAGGTGCTATGTCATTAATTTGGTTGTTTATTTATGTAAAATTGTAATACAGTGTCTTTTACCCCAGGCTGGCAGGGTGTGGACTGCTCCATCCTCTGTTCCAGTGGTACGTGGGGACTGAACTGTAACCAGACATGCTTTTGTGCCAATGGTGCTGCATGTGACCCTGTAGATGGCATCTGTACATGTTCTCCGGGTTGGAGGGCAGAGCTCTGCGATGAGTCCTGCCCTGTAAGTGTATCTTTGCGCTGCAAAAGATCTTGTGGGTCATGAACCTTTCAGTAACAGTAGAACTTGTAGTTTCTCATTGTGCCCATGTGTTGCATTTTAAAGTTTTGAGTTTTTACTGTTATCAGGATGGCACCTATGGGTTGGAGTGTCGTGAGCGCTGCGACTGTAGCCACGCTGATGGCTGTGATCCAGTGAGTGGCTACTGCCGCTGCTACCCCGGCTGGACAGGTCAGTATTGATTTTAGAAAAAAAATAATCCAAACAGACTGACATTATGGTCAGAAATAACCTCTGAGAGCTAAAATGAATTTATTTAAGACATCAGATGCTAGTCAGACATGAACTAATAATAAGTAATTATGTTTACCAAAACAGGAAAATATGCTGGACCAGGCATGTTTTTTGTTTTACAGTATGTTTACAGAATGTATAAGCAGTGTTTTGTTAATTAAATGTTTTGCCACTGGGCCGGCAGCGTATACAAATGAGAAATGCCGTGTGTAAACTAATTCTCTTGGCTCACATACTGGATGCTAGTATGCAATCATGCTTATATTGCATCCATTATTGGTTTTCTGCAGCGTCTGAAGTGATTCACCAGATAAATATTTGGAGACGGAATCAAATCATTGGCCCAGAATACTCTCATGAGTTCTGAACACAGACTACGATATTTTCATTTTTGGCTTTGTTAATTATTTACAGTCAGGTTGTTGTGAAATCTGACTGAACCTACTGCCATATTTAATCATCGGAGGATTGACTCTTTCCTATGCGTCATGGGCTCTCCGTTTGAATTCCCTCTAGACCGGTGGTGTAGTCTACGTGATACGCAGGTATACGCCGTATACCCACTAGGAACGGTCAAAGATTTCCCTATACCAACTTAATATAGCGAGATGATACGTAACAACATTGTTTTGTGACAGAACTTTCACAAGTTCATTCATAAATTCACTCCGTCTGTTGCTCTGAACTGACGTTTGGGACTTTCTTGGCCAGTGACTGGGATCTGACGTCACCTACCAAACAACAACACAGCTGCCTGGCTGTCACTCGGCGCACGTGTGAAATTAACTAATGTGAATCACTGAAGGAAATGTGAAACGCAAGCAAACTCAAACTACACTCTTTTAGTGTTTTCGTAAGCCTGCAGCTAAAGCTGCTGCCGCTCTGTGTGACACTGCAGCTGCAGCAGATAACACGAACATTAAAGTTACTGAAACAGAAAACGATGCTACGTTACCTGGTGAGTGAAAATAGCATATAGGCCTATGTTATCATTAACGCTATCATTAACGGAACTGTAACAGCATTGTTGGTCAATTGAATAGAATCTAGAACTAATTAACTAACATTAATGTGGTGGATCAATGAATGCGGGATACTGTGTGTGTGTGTGTGTGTGTACAGTAGTAGAAGTAGCAGTTCCTGGGTGCTTGCTCATGCATTTAAGCTGATACAGTACATAACCTAAGTTTGACAATGTTTTTTGGAAGATAAGTGTGCTTGAGAGGATGTGGACCCCTTTTTGTGTCCTCACTGTTCATAATATTCTGTAATGAATGAGTGTTGGTGATAGAACTGCACATAGGCCTATAAGCCTCAGCTTTCCATTATTGTTAACAATAGTTGCAACTTGCACTCTGAAATGTGCGTTGAAAATTGCCAGCTGATAAAACTTGCTCCAGGGACTAGATTCATATTAACATCAAAGGCTAAATGTAGCTTTTAACTGGCTGAGTTAGATGGTGGTTAACACTAAACATTAGACATTTCCACCATAAATTGATGCAGAAAATGTCTCCATAATGCAGGAAATTAAATATTTAATGCTCAAAATCTTGTTTCTTGTCATTTCTAACATTGCTTACAGGGAAAGAGGTGGAGGTAACAATGTATGAATGTCACAGCAAGGGTGAGGATCATTATGCTCAAAAATGAAGCGTCACATCTGAATGTCAAATATAGGGGGCTAGCTGAGGACCTGGTCTCTGAGCCTGGGTGGAGAGGTGCAGTCAGGGAGGGAATAGATTCAGCAGGAAAGGTCAAGCCTGTGAGCTCTCAGCAGCCCACTCCATTCAGCCTCCTGAGCTTAGGGCATTTATTCTGGGAAACAATGTGGGTTTTATTATCTGCAAGAACGGAGGCAGCAAAACGGGTCTCTCATGCTCTGAATCCTGCACAGGTCGGGACCATCTGTCAGCCTTAATTGAGTCACCAGGGTGCAGGGCTGGGGGCAGCCTGCAACCCGGTGGGCCCGACAAACACACATACATACATACTTGAATCATCGAGGCTTGACAATGGGCTCACTGAAGGAAGGAGCACCTAGGGAGAGGAAGATGTGGGATTCGTCACAGGTGTAAGTTAGGGATGGAATGAAATGGCTACTTACAGAAACACTAGAGCTATTTTTTGCTGACCCCGTCATATCACTGAGCATGCTAGCTCCAGAGTTGGTATGGCATCCTACTTTGCTGTCAAATTTTGTTTGTTTTATTGTATGTTTTGCGTAAACTGTCAAGAAGCTTGACTGTAGGAGTGTGTGCGTGTAAGTGGCTAAGTCGTCTTTGACCCACACAGTTGTTGCTTAACTGTCGTAAGCCTGACATCAGCCAAGAAAGTTCTGGCAACTGGGACTAGACACTTGAAGCACGGGCTCCATGCTAGTCCATGTTAAATAGGTCTTCACCTTTTATTTCTGAAGAGATTCCAAGTCATGGAGCAGGTAATGTGAGTGTGTGTTTACATGCACTGAGAGAGAGAGGTTTGCTTTGCGCTGCTCACTCTGTACAAATTGGATAGTGGGACCTCTGGCGCATCTCAGCGAAAATCCTCCTTTGAAGAGACTTCAGTTCTGGCTTCTCTCACCCTTTCTTCTTCTTCTCTCACCAGGCATCCAAAGCCCCTCTGTTTGTCACCATTAGACTGAAAAGTGTGGTGCTCCGTCCGCATTCATTTTCTGACAGTAAAGGCAGTCACAGTGTTTTTCTGGCTGGCCTAGCAGAACCTCAAACACACTTGCACAAGCCTTGCCCTCTTTTTGAAGTCCATGGCTGGGCTTCTGACTAAATCACTGCTACCATGCCCCCTCCTCATCAGCATTAACATTTCCTCTCCCTTTACTCTTTCATTCCAACCCGTAAGGAGACCTGGTTACTGTATAACATTAGTCCCCAGAGTTTATCCCAGGTTTAATTCAAAGGTACTGCACTAATGCTGCTTTAATGGCCACGCCATTCTCAGATATTCTCAATCAAAGGAAATTTCAAATGAGGCTTCAAACTAAGGGCTAGTGCTCGAAAGGTTGCAAAGTTTGTGTGCATGTGTGTGAGTATATAACTGTGTGTGTGCATGTTTGCGGCAATTTTATTCTTTCAGCATGTGTGTACGTACAGAACATGTGATTTTGCCCCTTTGCTTTTTTGAAGGCATGGGTATGGCTGAAAGACAACATGCTGCTTTCGGCGGATGTGCTAATGCATTCATGTGCACAGCGAGAGGCCTGTATGGATGCAGTGTTTTGCATTTGTTGGTTGGAGCTGCGCCAAACACACAGTGACACTTCCAGACTGCGCTCTAGCCTGAGTACTTCCCTTCAGCTCTGCACACTACTCCGGCTCTGCTGAAAGAGAATGGGAGACAAGCTCGGCTTCTCTGGAGACCCAACCCTGTTAATCAACACAGTGCACTGGCAGGGAGCCCCAGTCAGATCAAAAATAAAATACGTTTGGAAAGGAGAAAGTCTGAAAGGATGGGCTGCACTAAAAAAACACACAAAAACTGCAGCTTCTTCATTAAGGACTAAAATGAATCGTGTAATCCATGTTAGCTGAATAACCCTCCACAGATCCACCATCATCAGGCATTGTGAATGCTGTCCTTAGATGATATGTTTTTACAGATGGCAGGCTATTTAGAATATTTCAGCATACCAGTCTTTGCCTTCTTAGTGTGCATTCGCTGAATATTTGTCATTGTAATGTGCCTGCAGGAATCCACTGTGATAATGTGTGCCCACAAGGCTTCTGGGGACCCAACTGTTCAGTCAGCTGCTCCTGTCAGAACGGAGGATCCTGCTCCCCAGAGGATGGCACATGTGTGTGTGCACCTGGATACAGAGGGACCTCCTGCAAAAGAAGTGAGAGTCCATCTCTTTCTCCAGACAGCTTCTCTTTATCAAAACCTATAAGAAACACCAGCATGACACTGAGAGCAGCGCAGTAACACACTCCATCACAGTACTGACCTTGCTTTGATCTTTGAAGAATTGTTCAAGGGTGAGCCAGCTGAGGGGAAGCACTTTTGTTTGTCGGTCATAACTGCTTGAGTGTAAACCCTTCATCACTGCTATCACTTAATCACAGTGTCTATACTCCTACAGCACAAACACACACACACACACACACACACACACACACACACACACACACTCTTTGCCCCTCTACCATGTCCTCAACAACCAACTCACAGTGGGAGGCTCACAGTTCTCGCCCAAGGCTCATCAGAGGGCGTACTCACCGGGAATGCCAGCTCTGCTTTCTGAACCGGGTCTGTCTGAGGCCGCTCTCAAGTGATGAGCTCACTGATTGGGGGTGAAATTCACAGTCACAAACCTGTAAACATCAATTTGAGGGGAATGTAAGAGAGATACTTCAGCAAGCGCTCTGTGTGTGTATGTTTGTGTGTGTTTGAGAGAGAGGCAGTGTGTGAGAGAGGAAATGATTACTCCTCCAAATTCAATGTTTACACAGATAATGTTCTCGTCAGGTGGAAACCTCATAAGTGTAGTTTTGCTGTTTTTCCTGTTGAAACTTTAATTGGAAGATTACATTCTTCTACAGAGGCTGATAAAGGTGTCTCACACCTGGTGCTCAAAATCAAATCAAAACCCATGGGGTAAACATTGCATGCTTGTCAAACAACGACCAAGGCCGTTTTTGCCAGCTCCTAAATGGCTTGTTATTTTGGAAATACCTGATTGTCTCCTGAGAATAGTGATATTGGAGGAGGAATCTTCTCCAATCACCAGCTATGAAATAAATGGGAACATAAAATGGATTTTTAAGACTCACACTGAACTGAAATTAAAATCTGTTTTTAATATAAATCTCAGTCTCTTATCATGGTTGCACAGTTAATGTTTCTTTGGATAAAATGTTAGTATAATTACCTTTTATACTAGCTCTTAATGGTCCACATTCTTTCAATAAAATCTCCGTTATTAACGCGCAGTTGCGTGTTTCCTGACATTTATAGATCATCAAGCCTGCTCTCAAGACTTTCTATAAAACTGACTTTCACAATTCTCTTAACTCTTTTACTATTCCATCTCTGGCAGCAGATGAAATAGGAGTGATTACAATAAAGACTGACTTTTCTGCTTTCCCCCACCCTTTGCTGTCTCTCCTCGTCTTTTCTGCTTTAATTCTTCCAGCCTTGATTTTTCAGTACTCCCTTGATCACTCTTGTCATGCCCTGTTTCATTATTATATTCCCCTTGTTTCATCCAACATTGTCAACTGATTCCCTCTCCTCTCCTGCCATGCTCTGCTGGCTGCAGTCTGCTCTCCAGGGTTCTACGGGCACCGTTGCAGCCAGTTGTGTCCGCAGTGTGTGCACAGCACTGGGCCGTGCCATCATGTCACGGGCCACTGTGAGTGCCTGTCTGGCTTCTCTGGCTCTCTCTGCAACCAAGGCAAGTAGCCTTTTGTGTCCCTTTGACCTTTTCCCGCAGTTTTCACTTTCACATTCGTTTCTCTGTGAAGTTTTAGTCATTGCTACTGGAAAATGGTAAGTACAGTTTATATCTGAAAATGTCCTGGCCTTTTTTTCTTAACAGGAAATACAAGTGTCTGTTTAGATGGTTAAGTAATAACATTGATTATAAAAAATGTGAGACAAGAATGTATAATACAGTAGTGTAAAAGTAATACAGTCTTATCAGCTCATACCATCAATATCTCATAATATTTTAGTGTTTAAGTATTAATGTCATATTAAGCTGCATTTGTGCGGAGACCTGTACATTTCTTACAGTCCTTGCTGTGCTTACTGGCTCTAGTAAGATCAACGAATGATCTGCTGCCTCTCCCACTGCCATCTTAGCCCTGAAACTTTGAATAAGACCAAAAAGAAAAGAATCAGCCTTGAACAGGATCCTGAATATTGCTGAGACCCGGATTTTTAGACAAAGAATATGTCAAGTAAATATTGCCTAATTCTGCAAAGAGGGCAGCATGTCAATTGCTTTTTATGAATAGATAAAGAAGCAATACATGTGTAGGTCTCTTCTTCTTGTTAAAGTTAAGTTAAAGGCAACCGGGCAAACTTTTTTCTTCGTGTATTGCCTCAAACATGTTGTTTGGATCACATAGGGAGATCTTGTTGACAGAAACATCACTCTTACTTCCTTACAGTCCCTTAGCCGTAGATGTGTTTGAGTGGGATTTTAGTTTGAATAGATTGTTTATTTTTTCCCCACTCACACATCTATTCAACAGCTAAATGTTAACACTTTAACACCAAAATTTACTCATTGTGTGACTGTTTATGCGACCAAAGGTATTTGTCTTGTCTCTAGCTATAAAGTGCAGAATATATCTGCTCTTCATCACTGTGTAAAGGAAAGACACCTACATACAAATGTACTTTGGATTTTACTTCTAATAATTTACCATTTTTAATAAATTACAGAAAGGCAGTGAGGAATTTTTGAAGTCTCTTTCATGGCTTTGAGCAATGTCTTACAAATAAAAGTTTAATAGATTAGCTGAAAGGAAGAGGAAAAAGAAGAAACGAGAGCTGGTCCCAATTTGTCGGTCTGTAATTACTGGTGAGCAGGCATTTGGCCGCAAGGGACGAAGGTGGCCAACAACATGCATTTTCCTCTTGTTGAGCCACATTGGCATCCTTACTTGTCCCCTGTCCAGCACATAAAGTCCCAGCCTAATGAAGCTTTCCCGGTGTGTTGAGGCTTGAATCCCCAGAAGAAGCTGTATGGGGGAGCCAACCTCATGGCCTAATGACAACCTGCTTGAAAGAACTCTCAAGAAGAGGGGAAAACCAGTTGAAATGTAATCATTAAAATCACCCCACATGAAAATGAGTCAGACCCATCTCTTACACAGCCAGCCACCTTATCTGATATTTCTGATGCTGGGCTATTCTCTTTATATGAGGCCTTTGATGTATCTGCTGGTGCGGCAGCTCCCTGATCCTGATGGTTAGATGCACCTTGGTTCAATTTGTCTCACGGTCTAACAAGAAAACACAATGGAGGTTTCATTGGAGATGACATATTTTATTGAAGAGTGCCGGAGAGCATTGAAATATTAATTTCATAAAAAATGTATACAGTGGTCTGTGTACACGGTCTATTTTAATTCTGTGACACATCACTCATTCCACTCTTGTGAGTGGAAATGGGGCAGTTGTGCCACTAGAGGCAGTGATTGACTCCTCCTTTTGTTTAAACAGATCACTTCACTTCATGTCCACTCAAATAGAACAATATCATCCATTAGAGGAATATGTTTACACAACCTTTCACAGAATTAGTTTGTTTGTATAAATGCACTCACAATAATGTGTTCAAGTTTGATGTCATAATGTTAATGGATTTTACTAGTCTTTGCGTGTAAGTGATAATATGCAGATTAGGGTTGTTTTGTAAAATGATGTTTTTTTGTGTTTTGCAGTCTGTCCGAGTGGCAGGTATGGGAGGGTCTGCGCTGAGATCTGTCTCTGTACCAACAACGGCACCTGCAACCCCATTGATGGCTCCTGCCAGTGCTTCCCGGGTTGGATAGGAGACGACTGCTCTCAGGGTATGGCGTTTCTCCTTCATCCTGTTTTTCACCTCTCATTGTCTGACTGTCTTCACTCTTAATTTCTCCCTCACATTTACCTTCACCTGCATTCATCATTTTCATGACCCTACACATTTCAAGAACTACCCTTGGCCGTAGCTGTTGCAAAACAGATAGCTCGCTTAAGTGATTGTTGTATTACATTATGCTCTTTGATTTACAGCACTGTAGACCAAAGATCATTAGCAGAGTTTTGAGCCATCATTCCATGGGAAATCAATACTATTTAAAGTAAAAATAAATTATGATCAGATAGATGTTACATTACGAGTGCTTTACTTTGGATTATTCAACCTGACACATACCTCTCATATATTACAAATGGTGGGCTTTTCTGCAAAGGTCTGTGTTCAGATAGTGGGGAATATTTCTATTTATGGAGAATATTTAGGCATTTCCTTAAATATATGTGTTATGTGCTTCATGTATGCATGTAAAGGACATAGAGGATGTGTTGGTGGGTGTGTGACTATGAGCTTCACTTTGTCTCTGGCGTCTGCAGCCTGTCCCTCTGGGCACTGGGGCCCTGATTGTCTCAACTCGTGTAACTGTCACAATGGAGCCCAGTGCAGTGCCTACGATGGGGAGTGCAGGTGCAGCCCCGGCTGGACTGGACTCTACTGCACACAGCGTGAGTCTCTCCCATCCAGTTAGTAGACATATAGTGTCATCTACTGGCAGTCCAACAGAATTGCAGCAGATGACAAGTGAGAAACAACTGGGTGATATCAGGTTTTCATTTACAGGATTTTTAGAGAGTGCAACATCAAAATAACACTAATGGTCATTTCATTAATTTGCTACTTATACATTCCAGTCAGTTCATTCCAGATAGTGCAGATCATCAACATCAGGCCACTAATTTGAATACCATTATCTAGCACCCCAAGGGTTTTAGTCAGTCTTTGTGGTGTCATGCTCCTGCTTTTTTGTATGGAAATGGGATTTGTTTTAACCATTTCCCCCCCTTTTCTTCTCACAGAGATTCTTACTATTTCCAGTTGTCTTGTTCTTTTTTCCCACCCCATGTTACCACCTTATGTTAACAGCATAAGCAGATTTTCGGCTGAAGCATGAAATGTTTCATTTCCATTCATTGACATTGTCCCTTATTGAGTATGCTGCAGAGACATTGAATGGTATTGATTTCCCTGTTCTCCTGCAATATGACCTTGACTCTTTAGTTGTCTTTCCCTCGCTTTGTTTTCTCCACCCCAACCTTTTATACATCTCTGTCCCAGGCTGTCCTTCAGGGTTCTACGGCAAGGACTGCTCTGAAGTCTGTCGCTGCCAAAATGGTGCAGACTGTGACCACATCACTGGCCAGTGTGCTTGCCGAACCGGCTTCATTGGGACGAGCTGTGAGCAGAGTTGCGTAGGCCTAGCACATTTTAGCTCTGAGCAAAATTACCCTGTGGATGAGTGTGGTTGTATGTTCTATAAACACTTTGGCTCCCACTCTCTGAGTGCTTTAATTTTGATGGATGTATTAATGCACCTCTCTCCCATGCAGAGTGTCTTGCTGGTACATTTGGATATGGTTGCCAGCAGCTGTGTGAGTGCCTGAACAATGCTACATGTGACTATGTGACTGGAACATGCTACTGCAGCCCTGGATATAAAGGCATCCGCTGTGATCAAGGTGAGGGGTGATCGAGATGATCGAGACTCTCCACTGTATTATCACTCAAACACAGATGTGTACACATTGTTTAAACAACCCACTATGTGTGTTTTCTCTGTAGCAGCTCTGATGATGGAGGAGCTAAACCCGTACACCAAGATTAGCCCAGCACGAGGCTCGGAGCGCCAGTCTGCAGGGGCTGTCATGGGCGTCATCTTTCTCCTCCTCATCATCATGGCCATGCTCAGTCTTTTTGTGTGGTACAGACAGAGGCAGAGGGACAAAGGCCATGAGATCCAGCCGAGTGTGTCGTACACACAGGCAATGCACATCACCAACACTGACTATTCTCTGTCTGGTAAGATATTTTAGAGACCACTCCAAATTCTTGCTCACAATGGACAAAGGCTACATACCTTTAGTAAGATGGACAAATGTAGAGCTGCAATTTTAGACAGTTAATCAATTAAAAAATGAATAATGGCAACTATGATGATAATCATTTACTAATCACTTTAGTCATTTCTCAAGCAGAAACACTTCCTAATTCCAGCTTTCATTTATCAACTAAATAAAATAAAAAAATCAGCACATTAATCGATGATGAAAATAACACACTAATAATAATAATAATAATAGCTACATACTGTGCATTTGTCCATCAATTAGACATTTGTGGGCAAAATCAGGCATACATGTTAAAATCATGCATATTAATACTTTGAAGAAAGTAGACATAAATATTAACACACAAATGCTTATTTAGTTTTCAAACCTCTAAACCTTTTGTTTAAATCCTCAGAGTGTGGAAGTACTGTGGCGATGAGAACCAGCGCGGCTGAAGTCAATCAAAACCAGAGCAGCAGTGGCCAGTGTATATCCAACCCCAGTTACCACACTGTGGCCCAGTGTAATGTTGTCTCAACCATCTCCAGCAATTTAGATGGCACTCTGACCCTCAAGGTATGGCCAGTCTCTGTATATATTCACATACAATTTTATTTCCCCATAACATACTACACTATAAAAGCATCACCAAACTGTGTTCTTCCTTTCACAGTCCAGCACCCTGAAAAGCAGGAATGGCTCAGAATGGAGAGCCTACTGCAATCTTAATGATCTAGGTTGGTTTTCCTCTATACATGCATACACATTATATGCAATCTGTAGTTTTTGGAAAAGTTGTCGTTTTAAAGGGAAAAGACGCATGTGTCGTTAGTAAAAACCTTGTATAGGCACCAGCTTGGACACAACCACCCTGCTGTGAATGACGATGAACCAGGGGTTTCTTGTTAGACATAACCTTTGCTCTGATTGTGATAAGATATGCGGGTGGAACAGAGAAAGCAGTGGTGCGGAGGTGAATAGGTGTCACAGTGAGCTCATTAGTCCTCTTTCACTTCACCCAGTGGCACATTTCTCAATGATAGCTTACACTGGGTCAAATACCGCACTCTTGGGCTCTGAATCATATACAATTAAGAGTGACAGAAAATGACTCAATAATAGCTTACTGTAAATCTCTGGTTAATACACACTATAATGTAGTTGTGAACAGATACAGTTCTGTGCAAATGTTTAGGTTGGTGTGGATTATATATAAATTATACATACCAAATATTGATTTGATTTAGATTTTTCTTCTGCTCACTTTGTATTTTGTTAATTAATAAATATAATCTATTAACATGTCTATTGTTGAAAGCATTCTTACTTGGCAGCAGTTTTTCACACTAATACTTTCCTACTAGTACTGTGTATGTGTTTTATGTAACAACTATCTATCTATCTATCTATCTATCTATCTATCTATCTATCTATCTATCTATCTATCTATCTATCTATCTATCTATCTATCTATCTATCTATCTATCTATCTATCTATCTATCTATCTATCTAATATGGTTATATATTAAATGGTTTGTGGTGGTGCAAACTGAATTTTACAAAAGATTACAAAAGATTGTAAATACTGTACTGCTGGCATAAAGACTATGCTTACTATGCGTACTGTTTACAGGTTCATTACCGCTAAACCACATGCAACAGTCTAAATATCTATGGTTCATTCTTTGTCATGCTTGACTTAAAAGTCCGATATCTTGATCTTCACATTTTTATTTTGTTAAAGCACGCAGCAGATCAATCATAATGACTGTCCTTCTACAAAAAGTCTTGGATGTTCATCCTCATGTACTAAAGTGATGTAGCCTTAAACAGGCTTGTCTTCTGCTTGTGGCGTGTTGTTGTTTGGCAGATATCCCATTATAACCACAGTTGATTATGTGAGCTTGTAAGCCTTGGGCGAATTTGATAGCATGCAGGTGAAATATTCAGTTACTCACTAGTTAGAAAAAAGACATACTACAATGTAGTTTAATGAGGTATTTCCTGTCAGCCGTCACACATTGGAGGAATTCTTACGTGATGTTTTGACTTGAATGTTTTGACATTTGTTACAGATGTTCAACAGGGGGAGACACAGACACAGAGAGGCTCCAGAAAAGGTAAATAATTAATAGCAGTAATAGTGTGCGTGTGTGTGTGTTTGTGCTGCATATTTGTGTGCAGAAATACTGCATGTGGAATCCTGTTCAGCTTCACCAGCACCAATATTACAAAATCCTTTTATGCTCAACAGCCCATGTATCAATTTCCCCATTTGGTTTCTATTCCCTTCTGAGACTGCTATTTCTGTGACCCAAAATCCCATATCCTTATATTCTCTGTGATTTATGTGAAAACTCTCTGCACTTTGGACAAGATCATGGTGGGCTGAGGTTTTGTTCCAATGGTAATTGCTGTCTGTGGCTCAGTGCCCGATACGTCATTTTGTCTCCCACACTGTGCAGTCGGTGGTGAATGTGAGGGACCCAGGGGTGTGAAGAGTGGTCTGAAGGAGCTTTGCCACGGTCTCTAATGAGGCCTCTTATCAGACTGATGAGACTGTTATGGATTGGATGAGCCTTCCTCTCTCTCCCCTTTGTACTCTGATTACTATATAACACCATTAGTCACCTGTCAGAGACAAAAGAAGTACAACTTCTTCAGAATGGCAATGATTTTCATAGCCATTTTCCCTGCCACACTCTGATGTTTATTTAAATTTTAGTGGTAATATCAGAGTCTTGCATTAATCCCGCTACTATAAGTCAGTGACAGTCTTATCATCTTGTTGATGCTCAATATGTCCTTGTCTCACGGTTACTGCAGATTACATCAAGGGCTCCATGTGCAGCAACAGCTCCTGCTCTCTGAATAGTGAGAATCCATACGCCACCATTAGAGACCCACCAGGGCTGGCTTGCAAGCACACAGAGAGCAGCTATGTGGAGATGAAGTCCCCCTCCCACCGTGAAGTGCCCTTTGGAGGCACTGCCACCCTCCTGGGCAGTGCGAGCAGGAATGTCTATGATGTTGGTGAGTGCGTTGTTGCTCTGGTGTGTGGAGCTCAGCAGGGTCCTGCAGCTTATGGCCTCTCTGGTCATGTCCCCTGCTATGAGTCTGTATAGACTTTGTAGGCATTGATGAGAGGAAATGTTAGCTGCCTCTCATATTGCATGAACCTCTCCTTTCTCCATGTTCCTCAGCATGTGCCTGCCACTCTTCAGCCTCAAAGTTTCTTATGTACCTCTCCTACTTTTTTCCTTCCTTCTTTCCTAAACTATCGCAGAGCCAACGGTGAGTGTCCTGCAGGGGCCCAATGGAATGGCCACCGGCTTCTCCCAGAGTCCCTATGATCTTCCCCGTAGTAGCCACATCCCCAGCCACTACGACATACTGCCCATGCGTCATAGCCCCACGCACACAACCCCGCCACCTCCAGAAAGCCCAAGCTCCTTGCTCTAGAGGGCACACCCTTCGCCCGGCTCTGAGAGCGTGCCGGCATCCAGGCAATGTTCAGCCAACGTTCAGCCAACTTTAAACCAACGGCCTTCCCGCTCTATATGTGTGTGTGTGTGTGTGTGTGTGTTCAATTAGATACTGAGATGTTGAGATGGAAGGACAGCCACAGCTCCTCTGGACCCTGTCCTCTTTGGCTCCTTCATTCACACTCTTTCTGTTCCTGAAGGAGGGAGGGGTGAAAAAGAGTGTCCCACACACCAGCGACCATTCACCCGTTTATTTTCTTATAGGACTGATCACTCAAATTGCTGCCCCGCCTCTTTATGGACCTCCTGAAGTGGAACATAATGGTTCCAAACGGCGCTAAGGGCAGCATACATGGATTGTGCGGACAGATTATTTACAGGGAGAGAGTTATCCTCATTTGTAGTCCATGATATAGGTTTACTACTTAAGGGCAGCCATGTGTTTATAATGTCCACTAAACAGAAGTGATTTCCTCCACAAGAAGGAACTTATAGCAACTTTGACCATTTCAAAGCAGGCAAAGATTTACTACATACAGACATCAGTTTATGTCTTGTCACTGTGTGCAGCATCTGCAGATTATAGGAAGTCTGACATGAAGTGATAATGAGCATCTACTCTGAAGTGAAGAAAAGTTCAGCAAACTGTAGTGAATTCTATGTTCTAAATGTTAAACATGGAAACGCGCCTGAGGGTGAATCAAGTCTGAAAAAGCATGGAAAAATAGTAAAATTGTAAAAAAAAAAAAAATTGTAATGGTCCTTAATTCACTGTTTTCCGGTAATGATCACACATCATTTAATACAAAGATGATCACTGTATTTGACTCAAGAGCTTTTTTTTTTAAGTTGCAGTGTAAATGAGGCCCGGTTCCTGGAGATGCATTCAGGTCACCAGTGTTCAGGCATTATTTCATTACAAAGAGATACACACATACAGTAGGTCTCCAGTTTGGATTTTCCCCAAACTGATGAAGTGCAGATATTGTGGTGTTTTCTATGTGAAAGCATTTTTCTTGCAAATGTCTTAGTTTACATTTTTTAAATATCAGGTGTTTAGAAGGGATTGCTTTGACCTTTTATGTTTTGTATTTATAAAGCTAATTACTTTATTTATTCATTTATATTAGTGATGGTGAATTTTTATCAATGTGCCACTAGAATAAAAAAAAAGATAAGCATGATCAGATAATGGATAGCCACTGATGTAGATAACACACAATTTATCTTCTTGTGAGATGATCAGTGTCATTTTGTGAAACGTTTTTGAAGTTGCTTAAAATATTCTTTATCTCTCTGTGTCAGATTGTAAATTGAAAATGAGGTTTTATCTGACCAACTCAAGACCCACAAATACCATGGGCAGTCACAAAGGGAATCATATGTACAAAGTCCAATTTGAAAATATTTTTATGTTTTTATCAGGCTAATTAACTTATTTATTAATTGAGCTGAATTTATTCATTCACTATGTGAATTCCATTTCACCCTCTGTAGAAGCAATAACATGTTGACAATCGATGCCCAGACAACGTCTCATTAGTGCTGGACATTATGCCATCTTTGACCAGTGTGGTGACAGTGGATTTTAGTGACTGTTTTTCCTGTGAGGAAGGTTTTTCCAATTGTCATATCAACGCTGCTTGTTGTTTTGGTACATGCGTTTCAAATTAAAAGTCTACTCTGCCATCAGAAACCTGTTTCAGTCAGGTTAATAACCTGGATAGATAGAATTTATTTCTCATGTCAAGTGTTATACCAGGAGATGTCTCTATTCATCTAGCTCTGAATATTAAAATGACAATGAATATTGACAAGACAGTTTGCTACTGATGAATGAAGGAGTTATTCAAGTCTATTACTGTGTTCCTTCTGCCTGCATTACAAAGTGTCATAATGTTGTCCAGAGTCTGTGGGTGAAGAAAATCATGCCCAAACATTATTTTTTGTAAAACATCTCCCAGATTCATGAATGGGGAAATTTTTGTCTCACCTTTTCAGAGAGGTGACAACTTACAATTTATACACTGTATTTATTTTAGTTACTTCACAGTTCTCTACTACTTGTGATTTAAACAGCATTTTATTGATTTAAAGATCTGTGAAGATGTTTTTCAGATGTAAGGCACATTTTATATATGAATTATAAGATGATAAATATAAATATGATGTATTGCTTTATATACAACTACCCAACAGTATGTAAAGTTGTTAAAATGATCTCCACCTTGACTAGCTTCATTAAAAAGCTGCTTACGTGTTGTTGCATTAATAAAAATTAAGTTATATTATACATAAAAATATAAAAGTGGACATGTATCCTCTATGAGTACTTTTGCTTTTTATACTTTTATACTTACTTAAGTACATTTTGCTCACAATATCTGTCTACTTTTACTTAAGTAAAATTTTGAAATTTAAATTTTGTTGTGGAGTAGTTCTACATTTTGGTATTGCTACTTTTACTCAAAGGATCTGAATGCTTCTTCCACCACTGCACAGTCAACGAGACTGCTGGCTGCAGTCAGAAGTGTGCTTTGTTTCAATTATAACCACACCCAACAGTGACATCATATGTTCCTGAGGTACACCTGTACACCACTGCACCAAGGTAAGAAGTTAAACCCCTGGAGGTTAGCAAAGACAAGATTGTGGGGGTGTTCAGCTCTTTATTTTCCCTTAAACTGTTTTTAAATGCGTTAATTTATTAATTAAATTGTTCAAGTCATAATAGAAACAAAAGCATGTCTGTGACATGTACAGCGTGTCACATTACATGCATGGCTTTGCATGACACAAACATCACTTAAAATTATTACAGTACAGCACTGCAGGCTTTTTTTGCCACTAACTGAACTACTAGCTCAGGTATCGAGTAGGCTACAACACCCATATCGCATGTAATGATGAAAAAAAGAGCTCTATAGATGATGGACACGCTGACCAGCTGACAGCTGACAGCCAACAAGCCCTGAGTGATGCCCCACTGAAAGGAAATGCAGTCACAGAGAGCTAGACAGAGGGAGAAGAATGAAAAGATGAGGTCACACTGCAGTGGGGTCAGCACTCGAGAGAAATTTTGATTTAGCAGCTTGGTAAATATCCTCTCAACACAGAAATAATTTATGTGATTTCACACAGATCAAAAGGGACGGAGTCAAAGACAGAAATTTTCTTTAACTTATTAGATGTCAGATTGAGAGCAGGGCAGATACTGAAAGGTGAAAAGTTCAAACTGTGAAAATCAAATGTCTCCCAGCACGACATCTTGCTTAAAAGGTTCTGAAACCACTTCTCCTGTTCAAATGCAGGTGTGATTACTGCTGCTGGAGAACTGGTGCTGCCTTTCAGGTGAGTCATTGTGACACAAAAAGGGGAAAAAAAGTTATTTCTTGAGCTTTTTGTTCAGCCAATCTGAACCATGCAGATTTGGTATAGAAGCCATTAAATATGTAATTGTAAACTAGTAAAAGGATTACTAGATTCATGGTGACAAATCCATAACTTTCTAATTTAGTAGCATCATCTATCTCAGATGAAGTCATTTGTTTTTCCTTTCTTACATATTTACATTTTACATATAAAAGGTGTCCTGATAGTAAAGAAAAAACAAACATATTCCTTCACATCTGTTTCAGTGTGACGTGTTGAACACTTTATGTGTTATGATACAGAGTCTGTTGCATAGTTTCACTTACTTAATTCAATATTTACAGACTGTACACCAGTTAAAAGTTTATGCAACTGACAAGTGTTCTGGTGTAAAAAAGTATCTTTTAAGATAAGATAAGATAACATAGAACTTTATTGTTCTATGTTCGGGAAATTGTTGCACAACAGTTACAGTACAAAATATACACAATGCCAAAAATAGAAAAAAGGTTAATTGTATGGATCATGTAAATATGGTTAATGGGGTTTTAAATTAAAAAAACTTCTTTCAACCCATATAAAAAAATGTCCATGTGACACCCACCCACAGAATTTCACATCCACCACATAAACTAGCACAGGCAATAGTGTCAATCTTCAAGCTAGCCTGTAAATCTTAGAACCAGACCGTAAGTGCACAATAACTTTGATAAGTGTTAAATTCTCAAACAAGTATAATTTTTAAAAAATGTTCACACACTGCAGGGGAATTAGAACTTTGAGTTGTAAAGTATAAAGCCCTTGCCCAAATAAATGTCTACCAAATCAACAGATACTGTCAAATTACAGCACAACTTCCATCATGAGCAAAAATAGCTTTGTTCAGCTGAAAAGCAAACTCTGATCAGCATTTTCTAAGCAAGACCAGACTTGATTTCCATGTATAAAATATCCCTCAGTGAGTTTTTTTTGTGCAACACAGTGAATAAAACAACCTGGGTGATGTATTAATTCAAAGTAGGACTATCTCTAGGCTGATTATTAAAATGCTGTAAAATATTGCAGAGGCAAAGAATAGCTGCAGGGACTTTCCCTTACTAACGCAGGCCTAAGGCATAATCCTTTTTGCTGCACTCAGGCTGTCAGCTACGTCTTTCAGCCGAAGCTGTTTTTCACAGAAGCTGCCACTGGGAAGAGGCTATACCTCTAAATGTTCTGACAGAGTTGCACCTGGATGCTGACCACACTGCAGCTGGATAACGTGTCACTTTCACTTCAGTCTGACATGGGCTGCTGAGAGCCAGAGTGGTGGGTTTATGTAGGGTGAGGAAATATGAGGTAAAACATTTTTTGAATGACTAGCACATGACTTCCTCTGTTAAAGTTTGTATTATCCTGATAAATTGCTGCCATCAGGAATTTAATCAGTGCTCAGCATGATAGTGCTTTCATTTAAACATGTACCATTTGACTGCACTCTGCTATGGATACGTCTATAGCAAAGCTCAGCTGCAAATCTTTATTGCGGTCACGTCCTGCAACAGGAACTGTGAGGATCCATCAGACCAGAGCTGGATCTTTACTTAGCCATTCTTAATGCATAATCAGTATTCATCCCAGTCAGACCGATCATTTTCACGTCTGTTGTGTCTATAACTGCTCGCAAATTCAGATAAAAATGTACCGTCACACATAACTTGATGCAAATAATCGCTTTAACAAAGTAAGTCTGGAACAGTTGACAAAAGATTTGTCCAAATCAGTCTAATTAGAGAGGCCAGTGAATGGAGGAGAACTCTCTGGACATTTGTTTCCACATCCATTCAAAAGACAGTAGCATTTTAAAAAGGAGGAATTTAGCAATATCATCCACATCAACATACTAATTGTGGTTGGCTGACTTGCTGAGGTGAAGCAGGGAGACATGACATGATGATAAATTGATGAATGATGAGAGGTAGTCAGTATAATATGCATAATTTGAGTTTGACTTCACACAGGACAATGTTTATGATTAATACCAAGTCAGATTATGAATTTAATTAAAATCCCCCCAAAATCAGATTAGGTTTGCTTATACAGGCTGTAGCCCTTAATAAATCAGAATCAGAAACAGGCTTATTGCCAAGTAGGTTTTCACATACAAGAATTGTGCCTCTGTGTTGTGTTGCATAACGGTCAATGTAGGCTACACACAAAAAAGTAATAAAAAAATAGAACTTTACAATAAAAATATGTATAATTTATACAGAGCTGTACTCTGGTTTAAATACATTGAAATATACTTTTTTAAATGAGGAATGTAGAAATGTTTATAGTATAAACTATGAATAGGTGCAATGTGCAAATAGACATAGACATAACTACGGGGATACACAGACTTACAGAAAACACTGCTGTTCTTACTGTTGGCCACCGGGGGGCAGGCATGGTGTGAGAGTGGTTGAGGAAATGAAAGCAAAGACGAGTAAAGCAAGCGGATCTCATTCCCCGCAACTAAAATCACAGAATATAATGACAACCCATGAAAACTACTTGTTTTCAACTTCTAGTGACGTTTTCAAATTTTTAAGTGTTAATTGTTTTGCAATGTGAAGAACCCGGCTTAGAGGAGAGCTGTCAGCATTATTTTCTGCTTTTTGTAATTTCTGCCATTTTTTAGCAGCTTGATTTGTGCTGCATTTAATAATAATACAATACATTTGCATTTATAAATGTTGTTCCAGATTTATTGAGTGTTCATTTTAAGAGTTTAAAGTCTATGTCTATAACATCATTCAAAAGTGCCCTTATTAATCATGAGTAATGACTCATTCCTTACAGATGAAAGATTGTATTTACATAAGACAGAAGAAGTCAAGCTGTCACAATACTGGTCTGATTTCAAAGCTCAAATAAACCACCATTTTTTCCAGTGAAGCCCCCCCCCCCCCGTGAATGTCTGACTGAAAACAGAAGATGCTGTTTCTTTTAAAAACTCGTTCATCTCTCTGTCTGTCACATGTTTGTGAGGGAGGCTCAAGTTCTTTGCAGGTTTGTCTTCTTCGTCTATAAATACTATAACAAGAAAATTATATTTCTTCTTTGTGTTTGCACATTTTTTTCCCTATTTGTTGTTAAAAAAAATAATTGACTGTTCAAATTACCTTATTTATATGTAGTACTTGCAACTGGTAGTCACCTTTTTCAGTGTCTCAAAAATGTGCAGGCTGTTGCCATGGATTCTCCTTATGGCAGCTGAAGTATTGTAGTTATTGACGAGCCTTCATCACATGGCTTCATCTTTACACCTACAGAAGCTGTGAATCTGTTTTTGACGT